TTGACCAGATCCTGCGCCATGACTTCTTTACCAAGGTCTGTGGCTCCCCGAAGTCAAGTCTGCATATTCCCAGGGGATTCAATGGGGGGTAGGTGACAGGGCCCCTAGGACCTCCCTTCTCTGCTCACATGACTTCCCTCCTCAGGGCTACACCCCCGACCGGCTCCCTGTCAGCAGCTGTGTGACAGTCCCAGACCTGATACCCCTTAACCCAGCTAGGATTCTGTTTGTCAAAGTTACCAAGAGCCTCTTTGGCAGGAAGAAGAAGAGTGAGTCTGCGATGTCAGTGGGTTTGAGGGTATAAAGTGGCAGGGGGGCTTGTTACATATATTGTGGGGGCCTGAGTGTGAGTGCCTTTGAACCCCTGGAGAGAGCATGTGCCCATTTGTATCATCCCTACAGGAAGCCTGCGGGGTGGGCAGGATACTGAGGGCTATATCTTCCCCCACCCAGGTAAGAACCATCCTGAGGAGCGGGACGAGGTCTCCTGTTTGGTGAATGGCCTCACTCGGACGTCCATTGGGCATCAAGATGCCAGGCCTGAGGTGAGGTACTCATGTGGGAAGTGTTTCCTGACTCACTCTCACCCTAGCAGCTGCAGGAAGCCTGGGATAAAAGAAGCTAGTGAAGCATCTAGCCTCATGGTAGCCTAATTGGCTGTGTCTCATTAGCCAGGCAGGGCTGACCTGGGGTGCCCTGGCTGCCAGGGCAAGGCTGGGCCATGGACTCTCAAGGATTTGGATTTTGAGGCCTATCTCACTTCCTTCTCCTACCCAACCATCCAGGCTCCAGCAGCTTCTGGTCCAGCACCCCTCAGCTTGGTAGAGACGGCACCTGAGGACAGCTCACCCCGTGGGACACTGGCAAGCAGTGGAGATGGTGAGGAGCCAGGAGGATGAGAAGTGTTAGAAGTTTCTGGGGCTGAGACCAGGGACCAGAGGGAAGGAGTGGTCAGAGGTCAGTGGTCATGGCCTGTGTCCTGGGGAACTAATGCCTAATTCTCAGTGCCCTGTTTCCTTTAGGGTTTGAAGAAGGTCTGACTGTGGCCACAGTGGTGGAGTCAGCCCTCTGTGCTCTGAGAAACTGCCTGGCCTTCATGCCCCCAGGTGAGATTGGGGTATGGTATGGGTGAATGGTGGTGGGAGTTCTTTGGCTGCCATGTTGGGAACAGATCCTCACTCCTTCCTCTTCCATGACAGCGGAACAGAACCCAGCTCCCCTTGCACAGCCAGAGCCTCTGGTATGGGTCAGCAAGTGGGTTGACTACTCCAACAAATTTGGCTTTGGGTATCAACTGTCCAGCCGCCGTGTGGCTGTGCTTTTCAACAATGGCACACATATGGCCCTTTCAGCCAACAGAAAGTAAGTGCTGTTATGGAGTGGCTTGTATCCAGGCCATTGTGCCCAGCAGCTGTGTGCTTCTGCACTTGGATGTCCTGGGGTCTCTTGGGGAGGGGCATCAGTGCGGGGTTCTCTCTGACCTCTTGTCTCCTCTCTTCTAGGACTGTGCACTACAACCCTACCAGCACAAAACACTTCTCTTTCTCTGTGGGTGCTGTGCCTCGGGCCCTGCAGCCTCAGCTTGGTGTCCTACGATATTTTGCCTCCTACATGGAGCAGCGTCTCATGAAGGTGTGTGGACTGGAGTGGGGCACATTGAGGACTAACACAACCTGATCCCTTCCTATTCCCCTTGGCAGGAGTGGCTGGGGGACTAAGAGCTAGAGGCTGGACCCCTAAGGGAGACATTAATGGGGAGGGGCCTGACTAGTGTCAAATAACCTGCTCCTGCTCCCAGGGTGGTGATCTGCCCAGTGTGGAAGAGGTGGAGATGCCTGTCCCCCCACTCTTGCTGCAGTGGGTCAAGACTGATCAGGCCCTACTCATGCTGTTTAGTGATGGTACTGTCCAGGTAAGAACCCCTCCTGGAGTTGGGGGCAAGGTCTAGGAGGCCCACTATGCTGGGGAAAGAAACTGGACCTGGGGCCTAGGCCCTGATCAGTGCTACCCTTCTGTGCATAGGTGAACTTCTATGGCGACCACACCAAACTGATCCTCAGTGGCTGGGAGCCCCTGCTTGTGACTTTTGTGGCCCGCAATCGCAGTGCTTGCACTTACCTCGCTTCCCACCTTCGGCAGCTGGGCTGTTCTCCGGACCTGCGGCAGCGGCTCCGCTATGCTCTGCGTCTGCTCCGGGACCGCTGCCCAGCCTAGGCCCCAACCTGCAGAGCAGGCCTTGACCTAAAGCCTCAGGGCTGAGGCCTGTGCCTGTAAGGCTCTGGCCTTTGCCTTTGTGGGCCTCCCTGTCCCTTCGGTGCCTCACTGGGGGCTGTGGGCCGAATCCCCCAGGGAATCAGGGACCAGCTTTACTGCGGTTGGAGTTTGCCTGTCTCTGCAGCCTCCTACCCCTTCTCCAAGAAAAGCCTGAGCCTTAGTCCCCAGCCAGGGGACGTTATTTATGGACCACTTTTATTTATTGACAGACATTTATTTATTGGGATTGAGCCCCAGGGAAGGCCTTCTCCTGGGATAATAAACCGTTTTTGCATAACTTGGAGGCCTCTTCACTCGTAGTAGAGCCCATGGACCACGGCCACGGCGAAGAGCGAGGCGTTGGTGAAGGCGGCGGAGGCCAGACCATCGCATTCGGTGTCCCAGAGCGCGCGGCTGACCACGTGCACGCCCTGGCCGGCGCGCGGCCCCAGCACCACGCTGCACACTAGCTTGTAGCGCGGGGGACTGATCTCACGCAGGCGCACGCGTACCAACTCGCACAGCTCCTGAGCCAGAGGCCCGGCCTCCGCACCTGAGTAGCACGCATTGTGCAGCCTCGCCGCCAGCGCTGCCTCCAGGGCGCACTGTAAGCGCGAGGCTTCCCAGCGCTCCCCTGGCGCTGGCTCTGTGCGGTAGGAGGGTGCCACCTGACGCACGGGCGCTAGGGGCAACCCAGAGAAGCTAACCCTTGAGCCCAAAAGAGGAACTGGGCCCAGAGATGGTCGCCGACCCCCAGGACCCACGCCTGGTCCGGCCAGCGAGTTGCGGCGTGAGAAGGACGAGGCTGGGCCCAGCACAGAGCCACGGCGGGAGGCCGGGCCCAGACTTGCTAGTCGGGCCTCTTCAATACTGGGCAGGTGGCCTGGAGGCCTCACCGGTGATAGTTTCAGCCCGGGGTCTTTGGTAGTATCCTCCTCCTGGCGTCCTGGGGGCACAGACCTGCCAGCCATGGACCTGCCGGCTGGAAGACCCACACATAGACGGGATGGCCTAAACTGGCCGTCTGTACCACATCCAGTCTTTCACTCCGTGATAAGGGTTTTTACCCCCTAACCCCTTCTTACCTGTGTTTTTGGGACAGGTGAATCAAATTGTCCCCAGCTGCGTGGATTCCTAGGTGCTTAGAGGATTAAGGGCTGTTAGGGACATAAGCGATGCTGCTCAGACTATCATCTTGGGGTTGCCCCTGTCCCCTTGAGCTTCACTTTCCCCTGGGCACTATGGAGGTTAGCTAAGTGAGCTCTAAATAAATACATCTCCTTTTCTCTCTTCCACCTGACTTCTCCAGCAGAAGGGAGATAAACCTCCCCTTTGTTTTCCTCAGCCTAGATAGTGGTGCCTCAAACCCCTAACCAGAGGGAGACACAGACAGACCAACTCCTTCAACCCCACAGATCCTTCTAGCCCTGTGTCTAGAATCCAGACACCTTCGACCCCTACCTGCTTCTAGGGTGGCTGGCACAAAGATCTCTCCTACAATTGGTTCAGGCTGGATGGAGGCAGGTGACTCAGGAAGCTCCTTCCACCCTCTCCAGTTGGCCTCTGGCCCTACCTCCAGAATTAGTTCTGGGATGAATGCCCTCTTCTCCCGAAACTCCCACAGGAAACTGAGTCACCTGCAGCCTTTGGCCTCCAAACTCTCTCCTAGCTCCACAGCCCTTCCTCACCCAGCTGGCCTGACTGGCAGATGGGAAGGTAATGGCCCCTTGTGTTGTGGAGTTGCCCTGGGTTACTGGGAAGGCACTCCTGTTTTTTGGTTTCCTCCTTCCAGTCCTGGCTCTGGCTTAACTTGGAAGTGTTACTACACAGTACATGCTGTGTGCGGGGTGCCTGGGTCATCAGGCAAGAGGAGATAACAGGGGCCTGGAACCCCTGTACTGAGGGGGCAGATGTAGAGAGGGGCTCTGGTCAGAAAGGTATTCCCCTACACCAGGGCTCTTGAGCCACTGTCCATTCCTCCCTTTCTGAAGGCTGGCTCTGAAGCTGTGAGCAAGTTGCAGAGGCCTGGTATATGGGGAGACCTTGAGGCTGTAGGGGTGGCTGTTCAGGAATCAGGATCTTCCCCCACAGGAAGAAGAACGTCATGGCTCTATCCTCTCCCCATTAGCCTCAACAAGGACAAACATTTCCGCTCTCTGTGCAGAGCTGGGGTGGGGTTTGGATGACTTCCTCAGCTCAGGGCTGTGTGCAGGGGGAGGGGAGACCCATTAGCCCTGCTGGTGGGAGCCGACCTGATGCAACAGTGGTGACTAGACTTGGCAGTGAACCAGAGTCCAGCCTCCTGACCCCTGCTGACCCAAGTGCTCTGGAGCTTGTCTCCAGCTGGCCACACCTCTGCTGTGCCCTAGTGCCTAGAGTGCCAACCCCCTAACTGTGGTTGCATTTTAGGGATGCCAGAGGCCATGACGCTTCTGTCAGAGCTGACACCTCCTCACCTGACCTCCTTCTGGGAGGGACAGGACTGCCCCCTCCCAGACAAGCCAGTCTGGGCCCTGAAAGCTCCATGAGGGTGAGGAATTTCCCTATTGAGGGGGGTTCCCCAGGCCTGGCTAACCTGATCCTGACCCTGTGCGCATGTGAGGGAAGGTGTAGGAGGGTCAGGGAGTTTGAACTCTGAATCCAAGGCAGGCAGGGGCCTGGGTGTTAAGACCCTCTACTAAGCTTCCTGCCCCTCTGAGGGCTGAAGTTTTCCCTGGGCCTGTGGAAGATGGGTGGGGCCTCTCAAGCTGAGCTCCAGTTTCCGTGGAAACCCACAGGCTTCCCACCCACTGCTGCCTGGGCAGGCTCCCAGCTGGGGCCTCATGCTCTGCCAGCCTCTCCTCCCCAGTCCAGTCTGCTCCACCCTCAGCCCGTCTTGGCCCCTTCCCTGACTCTCCATCCCCAAGCCCAGCCTCTGGCCTCTTCCATTAGGTTCTAATGCCTTCTTAAGGAACCTGGGCCTCTCCTGCCCCATCCCTAAACTTCAGCTTCTCAGCAAACAGGCTTCCCAAGCTCCTGCCCCTCCCTCTCAGGCCTTTCTAGCCTCCTTACCAGCTCCCAGGCCTAGCCAGGCCTCCTGCTCCTGCCCACCTATCACCTCCCACAGACCAACAGACAACAGGTCTCCTAGGCTATTCTGTCCTCTTGCTCCCCTGCCCCACCCCACCCATGGAGACCCCAGGACTGGTTGTGCACGGGGAGGCTGCACCCTTTTCCACAGCACTCCGAAGCCTTCTCAACAATCCCCAATACAGGTGAGGGGGTGGGCCCTGTCTGTGGGATTTCCTTAGCTGGCTCTGCTGGGTCCCATGACTCTGAGGAAGCCTTGGGTACAGAAGAGGTGGAGATGACCCTCCTCCCTGGTGAACTCAGTCTGGGGAAGTCAAGTGTGGAGAATGGCTACAGGTTACATCACTCAGTGTCCATGATGTCTTGAGAGCCAGAAGTGGGGGCGGGGGGAGAAGAGGGGGAGGCAGTGGGGGCTGAAGCCCGGAGCAACTGGTATGACTTTGGGCAAAGGCCTTCTTTTGTGGATTTGGGTTCCTGGCAGAGAGGAGCCCTTTGCCCCCTGGATCTTGAGAGATGGGATGTGACTTGAGTCCCTCCCTGGGAGGCAGAGGAGCAGATGACCCTGTTCTGGGAACTGGGGATTCACAAGAGGAACAAAACTCAAGGGATTGAGCCAGAGTTTCCGGCAGGAAGCAGTTCAAGTATGCTGCCTAGGGCTCACTGCACAGGATGCTAGTGGTGTCTGAAACCAGGGATAGAATATGGGGGCAGGGCTGGTCAGGAGAACTAGAATGTAGCTTTCTGTCCCCACTGCCTCCCTAAGGGTTGAGGACTCCCATGACCCTACTGCTTTGGGGATTACAGTCTGGTCTGAGTAGTGGGAACCCCTGGCCTTGGACCTGGGACTAGGAGGCTCCAGAAGCCCAAGCTTCATTTCCTGCCTCCTACCCTCTATGCTGTTGGGAGGCCCAGAGGCTGGGGCCGGAAGTGGTTGTGAAGATGGAAAATGTGGTCTGGTCTCATGATGGTGCGTCGCTGCCATGTCTATCTGCAGCCAGTGCACTCTGCACCCCCGCTCCCCCACCCCCTCCTGCCTGGAGGAGGCTGAAAAAAGCTGAGTTTGCAGGCTATGGAGGAGGAGCCAAGAAGAGCTTCCCTTACCTCAAGAGTCAGGCTGGGGAGAAGAGGGGTATGTAAGATCAATCTTGCATCAGCCTTGGTGTCCCCTCAGTGATCAAGCATAGCCACCTCCTCTAAGACCTGAGGGTTTGGGATTACTATCCCATTTCATGGATGAGAAACCTGAAATTCAAAGGTATAAGTCACTTGCCTGAGGCACCATGGGATGAAGCTAGGACTAGAATCCAGGCCTGTGTGTATACTCCAGACCATTGGCTGGAAGGACTAAGCCCTGTCCCTTATATGACAGATAAGGAAATGAAAGCTCAGAGTGGGCAAAGGCAAAGCCTAGAGTTATATCCAAGACTCTGGCCTCTTCTTCCCTGGCTCTCTCCTTCCCTTGCCACAGTGATGTTTGCTTTCTGGTCGGTCAAGAACGGCAGGAGGTGTTTGCCCACCGGTGCTTGTTGGCCTGTAGATGCAACTTCTTCCAACGACTTCTGGGTCCGAAGCTGGGCTCTGGCATGCCTAGCCCCGTGGTGCTAAGCACTGTGCCAGCTGAGGCCTTCCTGGCAGTGCTGGAGTTCCTGTACACTAACAGCGTCAGGCTACACCGCCACTCTGTGAGCCTGTTGGGCAAGGGTGTGGATGAGAGAGGGAGGGGGAAGGGCAGGAGACACTCCCTTCCACATCCCTTCTACTTTGCAGGTGCTGGAGGTGCTGACCGCGGCTATAGAATACGGGCTGGAGGAACTGCGAGAGGTAGGTTTATGTGGCAGGCCCTTGTCTCATTTCTCTTGCTTCTTATGGGCTCAGATCACACCCTGCCTCACACACACTCTGGCCTGGAGAGGAACGTGTTCCAACACAGAAGTATGGATATCTCTCTGTGTAAATAGGCATTATGTGTGCCTTTGTGCAATGGATATGTACATGCCCTGTGTGTGCTGTGGGGGCATATGGCGGGGGTTATGGCTGGTGCCATAGATGCCAGGATAAATCAGCCTTGATCCTTGTTCTTCAAAGAGAGATAGACACATGAAAACTCTTAACTCAGGGGCATAAGAAGTGTGATAAATGAGGGTATATGGTGCTGAGACTCTACAGAGGGTCTCTCTAGTCTTGCCATAGGGGAGAAAGGAAGGGAAGACTTCTTGGAAGGGGAAACATTTGTGTTAGATCAAGTAGAATAGGTAGAGGTTTGCTCAGAGGGGGAGTGGAAAAGGTGGCATTCTAGTCACAGAGGCACAAAAGGAGCTAGTGAGCCATTTAGTGTGGCTGGACTAAGTGTGAGAGAGAGACAGATGAGATTGGAGACAGTGCCGGGGGCTAAATCATACTGGACCTTAAAAAAATTTGGACTTTTTTTTTTTTACTCAGAGGGCATGGAAATTCATTGGAAGTTTCAGGTAAGGGAGTGAGGATTTGGAGCTAAGAGGATAAGTGATTGGGAGAGATGGGAAGGGCTCCACAGTCCAATGGGGATGAGAGGCAGTGGCAGCCCATGACTTTAAGAGAAGTGGAACTGGCATGACCCAGTGCTTTTCTGGATGTGAAAGTGAGAAGGAGAGGTCATGGGTGAAATTCAAGTTTCTGGTTAAAACAAAAAGGTCTTTGAGTCAGGAGTGACACAAGATAAGTGTCCTCAGAGAAGGAGAGTGGATTTTCACGTGGCTTTCATCTAGTTTCATTTGTGGGGAATGTGCTAGAAGGTAGACTGCTGGACCCAAAGTAGGCTGCTAGTGTCCAGTCCCTTCAGGCTTGCCAAATCTCAGACCCTGGTGATTTCTTGCCTCTCTTGGTCTGGGAGGTCACCTTGGGCATGTGGCTGCTTAGGAGCCCGGGTGGCTCACTGCTTCTGAGGATGGGGTCTTGGAGGGGGAGACACCTTGGCACAACCCGCTTTCATTTCTGTTCCCAGCTGTGCCTGGAGTTTGTGGTGAAGGTGCTGGATGTGGAACTGGTTTGTGAGGCCTTGCAGGTGGGTGTTCTAGACAGGCTTGCAGTTAGTCCTCGGTGTGGAGGACTGGACTACAATGGTCTCTCCAGCCTCCAACCTGATGGCCTTCATCCTGTTCCTAGGTTGCTGTAACCTTTGGCCTGGGACCGCTGCAGGAGCGTTGCATAGCCTTCATAGAGGCCCACAGCCAGGTATCGCTCCCCATCTTCATAGTCTCAATCCCTCAGACCTCATTCTGCTCCTCCCTGACCCATTCGTGGACCCACAGGAGGCGCTCCGGACCCGCGGGTTCCTGGAGCTGTCGGCGCCAGCGTTGCTGTCCCTGTTGCGCAGCGACAAGCTCCGCGTGGACGAGGCTGAGCTCGTTCTGGCGGCCAGGAGCTGGGCACGCGTGGGTGCGGTGAGCGGGGGTACTAAAGGGACCCTGGGTTGGCGTGCGGAAGGAGGCTTGGGGCGCAGGAACACGGCAAGCCGGAGGCGGGGCAGGTGCTCCTGCCTGTCCAGGCTTAGGGCTGGCGTTCGCAGGCTGTGCTGGAGCGGCCGGTGGCCGAGGTGGCGGCCCCGGTGGTGCGGGAGCTGAGACTGGCTTTGCTGGCCCCGGCGGAGCTGAGTGCCCTGGAAGAGCAGAACCAGCGGGAGCCGCTCATCCCGGTGCGGACGCGGGGAACCAAGCTCAGATCCGCTCAGCAGCGTGGGGGAAAAGCGCGAGGGTGGGGGTGTGGGGCTCGGCCCAGGGTCTGCCGGGTGAGGGGGTATTGCAGGACTGCCGTGACCGGCCTTCCCCTGCAGGTGGAGCAGATCGTAGAGGCGTGGAAATGCCACGCTCTGCGAAGAGGGGATGCGGCCCGGGGCGCCCCGTGCCGCCGCCGGAGGGGAACCCTGCCCCGGGAGCATCACTGCTTTCTGGACCTGCCCTTTAAGTGACCAAAGGCCGCGGTTTGCAAGGAATTCTGGGCCTGTCCCAAGCTACAACTCCCGACGTGCCTAGTGCTCGGAGCCGACTTCCGCCCCCAGCATGCCCTGCGAGCCGGGCGCTGGAAGGGTGACTGTCGCCCGGCTCTGCGCCCTGTGGGTGGGGCTCTGGGGGTGGGGAGTGGGTGTGGGCTTGGGCGGGGCCCAAAAGCGATTTCCCTTACACTTTACCCTGACTCTACCCTGGCCCTCTGGCCGCGCAGGCCTGCCGCGTTTACTTTTATAATCCCCACGTTTTTCGGATCAACTCCCTCTTTAATTCCAGAGCTACCTCCTAGAGAGCGCTCTCTAAATGCCCCACAGACACCTCAGACTCAATCCAAAATTGGGCTGCCTCATCTTTCCCCAGTTCTGCCCCCATCGTGTTTCTCATCTCTGTGAGTGTCTAAGCCAGAAACCTGCATCTCAGCTTTGCCTTGTTCTTCATCCTCACATCTGCCTCCCGTGACTTCTGCCTTCTAAGACACTGAAGGGTAGTAAAATGTGCCAATCCAAAATACGCCTCTTTGAGCTAAGGATTATTTTAAGCTGATTATTTTGAGAAGAAGTGGAAGCTCTGGAAACAATAGAATTTACCCTTTTGTAAGGGAGATTTATAATTAAAAAGGGAATCTCCATTAGTAAGGGCGTCTCCTCCGTACCAGGAAAAGAAGGATGATCAACTCACAAGATTTTAGTGGAGAAGGCACCCACTGAAATCTGCTTAACAAGCCTTACCTTATGTGTTTTTCCTGGTAGCATTCTCCTAACTGTCCTCCCTACACTTTTCTTTCATCCTTAACTGAAGATGGTCTTTCAGCAGGTATTTTAGACCACCTCAGGGAGTTACTCATTTTTCCCTGGGTATCTCCCATGTACACAAGAGGTATACATATTAATAAACTTGTTTTTCTTTTGTTAATCTGTCTCTTATTACAAGGGTCTCAGCCAAGACTTCATAGAATAGAAGGAAAATTATTTTTTCTCCCCTATGAGATCTTTCCAGTTGGTTCAGTTCTCTTCACTTTAGTTCACCCAGTACCATGTTAAGAATTAATGCAACAGGCTCTTGCTAGTCTTTCTGCCTCCACACCAGCCATGCCCCTCTTCGTGCCATTTCCCACACTGCAGCCAGACTTAAGATTATCAGCCGTACTACCCTTATTAAGCCCCCAACATCCCCATTGCTCAGACAAAATACACTCTATTTCATTTTCAGGACACTCCGAATTACTAGTGGTTCCAAATGTTAGCAACTCTTCTCTCAACAACTACCTTTGCATAAAGTCACTGGTTCTGAAGGCAGTAGTCCTCTGGCTGCACAGTCATTCTCTTGGTTACTGATGACTCCCCATGCTACAGATGCAGTTTTGGAGTGATGGTGGGGTCTGGAGCCGATGGCCAAGAAAGAATGGTTGAGTGCAAAAAGGTGATTTTAAAGCATGGGGACAGGACCAGTGGGCAGGAAGAGCTGTATGTGTGTGTGGGGGGGGGTGTTGTGAGGAGTGACTGATTATATACTTAGGGGTTGGGGGAAGTAAAGGCCAGGGGAAGTTTCCAGAAGGACTTTCATATGCTAATCATATGCTAAAGAAGACTCAGGGGCACCTGGATGGCTCAGTTGGTTGAACTTCCCACTTGGGCTCAGGTCATGATCTCATGGTCTGTGAGTTTAAGCCACGCATCGGGCTCTGTGCTGACAGCTCAGAGCCTGGAGCCTGCTTTGGATTCTGTATCTCCCTCTCTCTCTCACCCTCTCCCGTTCATGCTCTCTCTCTGTCTCAAAAATAAATAAACATTAAAAAAAATTTAAAAAAAAAGAAGACACACAGGATCCTGGAGGCCTTGCTCTTGTCAAGCTGAGGTTGTTTTTTTCCCATTAACATTAAGACAGTAGGGAGTTCCTGGAGGAATGTTAGAGTTGACCTGCCTCAAGAATTTGTCAAAGGGCTGCAGATTATGAGGAAATTTAATTTTATCTACATTTCCTTCTGCCTTTGTTTCTCACATCACTACCTTTTTCATTCATTACACCCTTTGTCTTCCTGAGGATCTGAATCTCCCTAGACAAAGATCCCTGGGATTGGAGTGGTGCCTTATTCATTTCTTGTTTCTCCAGTCTCTGTCACATAATCAGTGCTCTGCAAATGTTCAGTGATGACGTTATTTCCTTATTTAAATGCTATTTTATTCCATAAAGAGTTTAAAAGAGCTATAAAACAAGATACTATCAATCTAAAATGAGGGGCAGTTGATTAGTAGAAAATAAGGTTAAACTTCTGTCTCAGGGATTTTATACAAAAATATGTTGCATATGAATTAAAGAAAGTTATTTGGCATTACTTCTCAAGACCGAAAATGTGGTTACTCATAGTACTACTTCATAACAGCATTGTTTGGATAATGAAAATTGAAAACAAGCTAGATGTCCTGGTTTAATCTAGAAGACTGGCTAAACTATGGTATATTACAGTGATATAGAAAGGTATCTGTGACTTTGGAAAAAGCTCAGTGCAGATCAAGTAGAGCACAATTCCTTTTGCTAAAAGAAAAGGTAGTGTAAGGGAGGAAAAAGTTCTCCTTGCCCCTCTTAGGGTCCCTGGTTGGGTTTGAAAATTAAACTTGGGAATGCAAGCTGGTGCAGCCACTCTGGAAAAGAGTATGGAGTTTCCTCAAAAAACTAAAAATAGAACTGCCCTAGGACCCAGCAATTGTACTACCAGGCATTTATCCACGGGATACAGGTGTGCTGTTTCGAAGGGACACAGGCACCCCCATGTTTATAGCAGCACTATCAACAATAAAGTATGGAAAGAGCCCAAATGTCCATCGACGGATGAATGGATAAAGAAGATGTGGTATATATCTACAATGGAGTATTACTCAGCGATCAAAAAGAATGAAATCTTGCCATTTGCAACTACGTGGATGGAACTGGAGGGTATTATGCTAAGTGAAATTAGTCAGAGAAAGATGAAAATCTTATGACTTCACTCATGAGGACTTTAAGAGACAAAACAGACGAACATAAGGGAAGGGAAATGAAAATAATATAAAAACAGGGAGGGGGACAAAACATAAGAGACTCTTAAATATGGAGAACAAACAGAGGGTTACTGGAGGGATTGTGGGAGAGGGGGATGGGCTAAATGGATAAGGGGCACTAAGGAATCTACTCCTGAAATCAGTGTTGCACTATATGCTAATTTGGATATAAATTTTAAAAAAATTAAAAAGAAAATTAAACTGACATAGATTAACAGGACAAAAGCATACAAATTTATTTAATATGATTTATGTATGTATGTATGTACGTTTGTAATCTCTACAGCTAACGTGGGGCTCACACGACCTTGGGATCAAGAGTCACATGGTCCTCCGGCTGAGCCAGACTGGTACTCCAATATTAAGTTTTAGTGTGCTCACTTCATCAGCACATATACCAATATAAGTTTTAGCAATACAAAAGCCTTCATAAGGAAATGAAGACTAGAAGAAATGGTTAAACCAGAATTTTTTTTTTAATGTTTATTTATTTTTGAGACAGAGACAGAGCATGAACGAGGGAGGGTCAGAGAGAGAGGGAGACACAGAATCTGAAGCAGGCTCCAGTCTCTGAGCTGTCAGCACAGAGCCCAACACAGGGCTCGAACTCACGGAGTGTGAAATCATGACCTGATCCAAAGTCGGCCGCTTAACCGACTGAGCCACCCAGGCACCCCTAAACCAGAGTATTTTTATGCTGGGTTTGATGAAGAGTGGATAGTGATGGAGGATATAATGGGTTAAAGGGTATGAGGTAAGTGTAGTAAATGGGGAAATTTAGCAACACCTGTTTGGATTCTTCTTGGAGTCCCTTTGACTCTGGAGATAAGGATGACTCCTTGCCTCCAGTATAGGAGGGCACCTCTCACTTGAGCGTTTTATGACCTGTTTCAAGGGAGAAGGGAGATGGGGCCAGGGTGAGATGAGGCGGTAAGAGTAACTCTTCTGATTTCTCAAATTGCTTAAAATATTCAATATGCCAAGATACTATATTTTGGGGTAGCATGTCCTGAACCCCATCAGTAGCACAGTGATTAAGAGTATGTCTCTTCTGGATCTAGGCTGCCTGGGTTTGAATCCTAGCTCCACCACTTTCTGGCTTTGTGACTTGAGTAGGGTAAACTTTCTATGCCTCAGTTTCCTTGTTTCGAAATGGAGATAAAAACAGAATCTATTGAATAGAGTTCTTAGGAAGGTTAATTTTGTAAAGTGCTAACCTTCCTAAGAACTATATTAAACTTCCTAAGAACTATATTAAACATTTAGATAATATATAAATTAAATATCTAAAAAGTTAGTGTATATATATATATATATATATGAATCCATTCATTTGTTCCATAAGTATTGAGTGCTCATGTGAAAGGCACTGATTTAGGGTCATGGGATCCATCAGAGAATAAGTCAGGTAAATTCCCTGCCTCGAGGAACTTACATTCTAGGAGAAACATACAGCAGACAAGTAAAGAAATTAATGTATGATATAATTTCAGGAAGTAGTTTGTACTCTGAAAAAAAAAAAAACAGATTAAAAGGATAAAGAGTGATGTGGTAGGAGTGGGGTTGTTTCATACAGGGTGGTGAGGGTGGACCTCTGGAGACTCAGGACTGGAGACTTAAAGGACGAGGGGCACAAACCACATGTCCTGGAGAAAGGCATTTGGAGGGGTTTGTGCAGGCTGGAGAATGGAGTGTGTGATCAGATTTACATTAAAACAATTTGTGGGTGTTGTATGGAAGATTAGGACAAAGGGGCGGTAGGGAATGAGGTACAGTCTAAGAATAGTTACAGAGGAGAGTTCTTGGACTCTCCTTGGACCAGGGTGGAGTAAAATGTGGTTGCTTGAAGCTTATGCTTTGAATATGGCCATCACTGATCCCAGCTGTAAATTTATGGAGGTCACCAGCCATGACATGGTATGTAGTTAAAGCCAGAGAAGATGCTGGGGTACCTGGGTGGCTCAGTCGGTTGAACATCTGACTTCAGCTCAGGTCATGAACTCAGGTTGAACATCTGTCTGACTTTGGCTTGGGTCATGATCTCGTGGCTCAAGAGTTCCAGTCAGAGCCTGACAGTTCTGAGCCTGGAATCTGCTTGGGATTCTGTCTCCTTCTCTCTCTGCCCCTGCCGCATTCACACTCTATCTGAAAAGTAAACGTCAAAAAAAAAAAAAAAAAAAAAGCCAGAGAAGATACAGATAAACGGGAGAATCTGAGTCTAAAACCCAAGGACTCATGTGGTGGCTAGCCGTATATCCATTTCTCCATGGCTCTCCCCCACTGAGATTATAAATTACTTACCTGGCTATGTTATCTATCCAACCTTTTCAACGTTTGGTGTCACTAATAAACTAAACTCTTTATAAATGAAGAAAGTAGTTACTACAGTGTTACCCACACCGGCTCTGAAATACCTTCCCAAAAAAATCCTAAAAAGCACCTCACACTTACTTTTGTTTGGGAAGTAGGAACTATACCCACCCAGAAACAAAAGCTACAACGTACTATGAAAGCTGGATCACTTCTTTTGTTAACCATAAAAATTAGCCTCAAAACGAGGCCTCAAAAAATTTGGGTAAAGACTCATAATTGTTTCTCTCCACGGAAATCTTTAGTAAAAGGCGAAAGATTTATGCGATCTGAAGAGAAACCAGAGCATACTCCCTCAGCTGCTCTTGGAATTCCCTAGAGCAAGACAACACTTAGCACACTTATGGTTGTTCAGTGTCTGCACGGTTCATGCTCCCTGCTTGGAATTTCTATAGACCATAGATTTCTAACAGGTAGTATGCCCTAAACAGCGCAGAAATCTTGGTGGGGCTGGAACTCCAGCAGCGTGAAACTGGTTTTTCGTGGTGCACCATGGGTATGCAAATCACAGGCGTCTCCGGGCGGGTGGGAGACACCAGCTGTGGCGGCGGGGTGGCGCTGGTGTGATGCCTCCGTAGTAGCTCTGCGGTCCACACGAGAACCCGTGCCCCGTTTGCCCAGAGAGGTAAGGGCGTTTCCCGCCGGTGCCTGTGCCGAGCTCTTTACCAAGGGGTTGGGATTGTTAGTCCCAGTTATTGAAGTACAGCCTTACCGGCAGGGACACCCTCCACCCCCCGACCCCAGTGCTGGGACCGAAGCAGAAACGGTTGAGCAGAGTCCTCAGGGGCCCTGGGACGTCGTAGGAGGCACATCACTACCCCTCCCGGAAGACATGGCATCCAACTAATATTAAAGGATGGTTCCATCAAGGAAGAAAAGTGTCCTTGGCAGAGAGAATGACGTCTGTGAAATTGTGGAAGGTGCACACTGAAAGTAATTCAGCCTGTCTAGAGTGTGGTGTGTCTGAATGAGGGTGTGAGTCCGGCTAGACACTGTCTGGGAGAGAGCTGGATGATGGCAGAGGCTAGAGTGAGTTGCGCCCGGAAAGGGCTTAGATTTCGTCTTGTCCATGATGGGGAGCCATGAAAGGGAATTTAAGTCAGAGGACTGAGTAGTGTGAGGTACCACACAGGGTGGGCTGCCCCGCAAGGCCTGGGACTTGTCTCGGAGACTGGAGGTGATTCATAACCCTGGATTGAGCATTCTTGGGGTGGTCGAACTCCAATCGGCTGGAATCAGTTTGATTGCTGCCACACCAGGACACGTTTCCAGTCAGAGCAGTCAGAGCAAAAACTTTCAGCACAGTTAATATCTATACACACTACAAGACTAGGGAGCACTTATGAGATACCAGGTCATTTCTTACATAAATAATTTCATTGAAAATCCTGAGGAAAAGAAATAGCACCCTATGAGATAGGCTCTAATCTTCCCATTTCACAGATGAAAACACTGAAGCACAGTGAGTTTAACTTTCCTGGGTCCCTCTGCTGCTAAGCAGCACAGTAGACTGACATCTTTTGCACTAGTCCAGCTTGGTGACCTCTTCTGCTCCACTCAAAAGCCCCTCCACCCAGGCACTATTGGCTTGAAATCCAGCCTCCATCCCTTGTACCCATTTTAGGTTCAAAGCCAACTACTCATAGTCTTTTTAGGCATTTATTTTAGTGTTGATTCAACTGCTATAGGTTTGTTCATGTATTTAATTAAATGAATTAATTTATATTTAGTCAGAACATGATTTTCTGGCCTTTAGCCTGGTGGGTGAGGTATAAGAAGGCAGTGCTCTTAAGGTGGGGTTGTTCCTGGTAAGTGAGTGGCTGGAACCCACTGTGCATATTTGTATCACTTGAGACTGAGACCTGGCATAGTTTAAGGAAAGATAATAAAAGACCTCCCTCACCTCATAGGGTCAGGTGCTGTAATCTAGCCCAGAAGTGTGGCCAGAATCTTCTAGCCCTCTGTATAAGAACAGAACAGATAGCTTAACTATAGCACCTTACTGGCCACTAGCACAATCTCAGTTTCTGGACAGTTCCCCCTGTGGATCCCCTGGCTGCCTGGCCAAAGGTGCCTCTGGGGCACCAGGCTGCTGATTTGCAGAGGCCTCTTGCCTTGGAAGATGGTCTAGACATAAACTCCTAAAATGTCTCCCCAGACCTTGCTATTCCCATCTGTTTCAGTTGGCTACTTTCTCTATCTGCTTCCATTTTACCTTCTACCTGTTGCATGGCTCTGCCCCCGCCCATCCCCCCACCCCCCACCCCTCACCCTCCACCATGCTGCTGAAACAGAGAGGTGTGCAGGGCTGGATTATGATGGCTCTGAAAGCCACACAGCAGTGTCACCAAAAACATTTGTATCATTTGGTATACTAAGCAGTTACCCCAGGTCCTGTTACCAACTATATGACCACAGTATATTTGTTGAATATGACCTTCACTTGCCAGGTGAATAAATAGACCAACATTACGTGACAAAAATTTAGAACCTGGGGCCCTTCCGTTTCAGGACTAGAGTAGCCCCAGGAACTTAGACCATGATACCTCTAGTTGCAAACTCCCAAGTTTGTTTGAAAGAAAAGCACCAAAGTCATTTGAGATGAGTTCATATAGAATATATTTCACTCTTTAAAAATAAAACTTTTAGCATAGCTAAAATCTATACAAACTACAAAAATAAACATCTTCATATAAATAATTTACGTGGTAGAAGGAGGGCAGATACAGACGGCCTACTCAGGAGTTACCAAGCAGTGGGGGGCCAGGACTAGCAAAGGGTGCTAGAGGATCCCCCAGGCTTGGCCTGCGAGGGGCCAGTAGCACATGGGAGGGCGGGGAGAAAAGGGATGAACCGCAGCCTGAGGTGCTGGCTTCTACCCCCACGCAGAAAGGCACAAACACAGAACCAGGTGTGCAAGGCTGTTCTCCCAGCCCAGAGGGTGCTGGTTTTGCATGGGTATCAGGGAGGTCTGTGATGGCTGAGGCAGGAAAGGGAACGCAGGCAGACAGCAGCAGCAGGGCTCTCCAGGTGTCTGTCCTGCATTCAATAACCCACCCACTGCTTCCCAGTGACTTCATGTGACCCAAGCAGGGTCTCCATGCTTCAGGTGCTCTATCACCCAGTGGCTGGGCATGGTCCCCTAGAACTGAGGTTGTTGGAGCCGCTGGCAGCTGGTGTGGCAACCGGGGACCAAGTGGGTTCATCAGAGGCTGGGTGGATGTAGGCACCAGGCAGCGGGGGTGGGTGGAGGGCCACTGTCATGGAGGTAGTCACTCTGGCAAAGCTCTGGGGCAGGGTGGGGGACAACCCCCACCTGAGTCCTCCTTCCCGTGGAGCTGGAGGGCTGAGGACCTCTGGGCTCTCCTTGTATATCTGTACCACCTGGGGGAGACACCACTCCCAGTGAGCCCAGGGGTACCAGGACCTCAGTCCCCTTCAGCAGCTCACTGGTGCATCACTCTGATTGTTGGGAAGTTGTGGCCCTTGTTGGCTTCCAGCAGCAAATAAGAGCTGACAAGGGACAGGATGTCAAGGCCTGGGACAAACTCTGCACGTTGCTCTTGACCCTAAACATTAAGGTGGGTCCCATAAAGAAGCCAGGAAAGTTGAGGGACAGGGGCATGGTGTTTGGGCAAAGGGAGAGGCTGCCACCCTCGGTTGACCTCAAGGAGAAGGTCCTTGTGAATTGAGCCCTGTCTTTTGGCCAATGAGATTTTGTCCTGGCTCTGTCTCTTCCCTTGCCTGTCCCACCCATCCCCTGGGCTGGAAGCAGGGGGAGGGTATGGTCACCTCTGGTGGGGGGCCCAGGATGGACAGCAGCACAGGCAGCAGCATGAGCCCATGGAGGAGGCCCAGGAGTGTGAGCACTGTCAGCACCACGAAAAAGTACCTGTGTGGAGGTAAGTGGTCAGCCTGGGTAGCCCCTGTGGCCAGTACAGGCAGGCCCTACCTCCTTGCCCCATGCCTCCCCTACCTTATGATGAAGTCAAAGTTTGAACCAGCAAGCATAAGCAGACCCAGCAATGTGGAGATGGCCCCATCGGTCACGGGAGCAAATGTGTGCTCTAGGGCACAGGCAGCCCGCAGGTTCCGGCTACCCTGGGTGGTCAGGAAGCCCTGGGGGAGAAAGGAGGCCCTATAGCTGCTCATTGGCCAGCCATGCCCTCAACTTCTCATCTGTCCCTAGGGCTCACAGGTCAGGTAAACTGAGCTCCTGGAAACTATCCAGGAAGTATGCATGGGTCTATTTATTTATTTTTGCATGAGTCTATTTAAGTAACACTGTATACATATGTCTGGTGAGACACAGAGATGTCTAAAATCGTTGGCAAACAGAGCCTGTCACCTGTTTTTGTAAATAAAGTTTAGTTGAAACACTGCCACACCCACTCATTTACATATATCTATGGCTGCTTTAGTGCTACCTCTGCAGAACTTCTACAGAGACACTGTGACCTGCCAAGCCTAAAATATTTCCTGTCTGGCTCTTTACAGAAAGTTTGCTGATCCTGGGTCCAGAAGGATGGACACCAAATGGTCACAGTTACTTGTTTGGATGGGATTTCAGAGGATTTCTAATTCTTTCTTTGTACCTCTCTGCGTGCTGACTTTTCCCTCCTTCAAGGTTCTTATATATTGTTCTTACAATCAGAATAATAACAGGGCTATTATGGTGGAAAAAAGGGAGCTGTCTGTGGGGTCTAACCACAGCTGGTCTGTGGCCCCCACCTCTGCTCCCACTCCTCCTCTGCCAGAGAACACAGAGCTGTGGGGGAGGCTGAGCCCACCTCACTTCTACCATCTTTTTCTTGGAAGAATCCTTCATTTGCCCCACATTGCCATCCAGCTACCACCCCCCATTTCTCTGATCCCTTCATGGTAAAGCCATCCAAAAGAATTGTTGGTTCCTGTTTTCTCACTTTCCATTCTGTCCCCACTTTGGTCAGGCCTTTGTCCCGTCCTCTCTGCTGAAATGACTGCTTATTTCGTTGTTTACATGTTTATTGTTTATCTCTACCCTCTAGAATATAAGCTCCTTGAAGGTAAAGCCTGTCTGTACTGGCATTATATCCCCAAATCTTGTTGTAAGTTGGTTTGTGTGTGTATGTATGTATGTATGTATGTAATCTCTATACCCAGTGCGGGGTTCAAACTCACATCCCTGAGATCAAGAGTCCCATGCTGTATGGACTGAGGCAGCCAGGCGCCCCTGTATCCCCAATTATTATTATTATTTTTTTTTTGCGTCCAAACAAGGCTTTGAAACAAATCCTTAAATAGTACCTAGCACATAGTAGGTGCTTGACAAATATTTGCCTGACACTGAATCAGCTGGCCCACCCATCCCCCAGTGCCTGTGCTCACCAGAGCCACATGGACTGTGAACTCGACACCAATGCCTACAGAGGCCACAAGGATCACCACGGGGATGGCACTCAGTTTGATGCCCAGGAAACCCATGATGCCAAAGAGCTCCACAGTCATCATCGCCAGGACCAGTACCTGGGGAAGGCAGGGCTCACTCAGGCTCCTGGGAGAAGGGATGACGGGCTGGGCAGGACAGGGGTGGGGAGCCATGGGTCTCTCTTGCCCCATCCCTGCAAGGACTCACTATGAGACCAGCCGTCCAGGGATTGAGCAGCAGCAGGGCACAGACGAGGAAAGTGCATACCAGCAGGATGCAGATAGCCAGCAAAAAGTAGCGCCGCAGGCCCAGATACTGCTCCCAGAAGAGGAAGGGGGAGCCACTGGGGTAGGCACGCACCCCGGCCCGGCCTGCCTCGGTGCACGCTGCTCGGGCCCCCTCAATGGCCTCCACGAAGTCCGCAGTCTTCTGGAGGCCATGCAGTAGGAAGGGGAACTGGGCAAATTCCAGGGGCTGGGCCGCTGGGACTGTGGAGGGTAGGGAGCAGCAGGGAGAGGAGGGGTGGCCAGTGAGCACAAGGAGGAGAGGGCAGGGCCTTAGGATAGGGCCTGTGTGGGCCCAGGCTGAGGCTCTTGTTGGGCTTCCCCCCAGACTCACTGCGAAGGTTCTCCCCCGTAGTGTCATATTTGTCGTGCAGCCACTCGGGAGGTGGGGGGTAGAAGTTGGCCTGTGAGGCTGCCAGGCCCAGTGGGTCACTGCTTACCCACATGGTCAGCCCCACGTAGAAGAGTTCGGGTGGGATCAGCCCCTCCTTATCTACTAGCTTCCTTGTGGTCAACTGCAGAGGCAGAGAGAGCTGAAGGCCTGGGCCCATAAGGCCTAGAGCCTCTCTGTGCTTCCTGACCCTTCCAGCCCCCTTCCAACCTGGCTGAAATCCAGAGGCTCTTGGGCATCCCCGGTCTGGATGAGCAGCTTGTAGGCCAGGGCCCCATCCTCAGAGCCATTGCGGCATGAATGGCGGGTAATGCGCCCAGAAGCCCAGTCCTGGTCAAACGCGGCCTGGATTCCTAGGGGAGAACAAGGTAGGGTACAGTCAGCCTGCAGCCCTGGGGGCTTCTGCCCGCAACAGCTCCCCCGCCAGTTTCCTTGCCTCTTACCCTGTAGCCAGTTGCGGTAATAGTGCAGCCAGGTACGGGGCGCCTGGGTGGCAGGCGGGGGCAGCACGGCCTTGAGAGAACTGAAGCGCTGGTGCAGATCAAAGAGGGCGCGTTGGGAGTGGGCGTAGTCAAAGCCACCCTGTGTCACCAGGGCCACCTCGTACAGGGAGAAGTACCTGAGCTGGGCGCTCAGGAAGGCATGCTCCTTGGTGCCTCGAGGCACCACATCTGTCAGGGCCAGCCCATCCTGCACCAAGGTTGCTCCGTAGAGGCTCAGGCCCAGAAGAGCCCCAAAGAGCACCAGCACCATGGCCTGTGGGAAATGGCAACTAAGCTGGAGGCCCAGGGATGTGCCCCAGCCCTCAGGAGGTGGCATGGGCCGTCTACCCTTCTTGGGGCCCAGAGACACTTAAGTCTCTGCCTGGTGCACCCCAACTTCTCCAGGCCTAGAGTCTTACCTTGCTGTGTGACTGCAGCAGCAAGGGTGCAAAATGATAGCGGGCGAAATGAGCAAGATTCCAGCGGGCACAGGGCAGGGAATTGCACGTTGCCTTTTGCCTTGTCCCCTCCTCTTGGCCTAGAAGGTCCCGTGTGGACCCTCCTGGGCTGAAGAGCTCAGAGCCCAGTGGGTCAGAAGGTGGGGGCACCAAGTGGGCCCGGGGAGGCAGGATGGTGACGACATGCTGGCTGCTGGCTTCACAGTGGGCAAAGGCTTGAACTGTGGCAGTCAGGTGGGCAATGCCCACTGGTACTGTCCTATCCCCTAGTTCCTGGGGCAGAATCTGAATCACGCGGGCAGAGCAGGGGCTGGAAGAGGCAGAGAGTGGGGGTGGCAGGTCTGTGGAAATGCTGGTGAGGGGACAGGAAGTGATGGGGCCTGAGGAGATGAGGCCTGGTGGGGTGCGGATGCAGGGACGGTACCTGGAGAAACAGCAGAGTACGTCGAGGCGCTGGCAGTGGCGCCGATGCAGGTCCAGGCTGAGGACCGCCGGGAAGACAAGCATCACGGCTGCAAAGTTGCAGCCAACCACTATGGCCGCCTGGGGGATGGACAAGAGGGACACAAAGGCTGATGAAGCATGCCCCCCGTTTCATGCTCACCCTGAGCCTGGGCCCTGTTCCTGAGGCCTCACCTGCAAGGAGAAGGCCCGCAGTGCAGGGATGGGAACTAGGGCAGCCATGAAGAAGGCAACCATGTGGTTGATGGATGTGAGTGCGACGCTGGTACCTGTGCGCCGCAGACACTCGCCTGTGCGCTCCTGCCAGGACAGGGGAGGAGCCATGGGTCTTCAAGGTAGAGCGAAGGGGAAGCTTGGGAGCTTGGGATGGCAGAGGAGGGACAATAACCACACGGCAGCTAACAGGTATTGAGTACTGTACACGTGTCATGCACATTGTTCTAAGCACTCAACCTGAGTTATCATCGATCCTCACAACAACCCTCACGACACCAGCACTATTATTACCCCTGTTTACAGATGAGGAAAACTGAGGCACAGACAGGTTAATTACCAGCCCAAGGCCACCTAAGCCAAGAGGCTCTTAACCCTATGCTAAACCGCTTCAGATGAGCCCAGGCTGGAGAACGAGGCCTCACCTGGAGAGGGGTGCCAGGTGGAGCCTCTGTGAAGGCATGTGCCAGCAGGAATATGTCATCCACACCGATGCCCAGTGCCAAGAAGGGCAGCACCTGGAGAGGCACAGGGGTGGGCAGCTGGAGGAACTGAGGAGCCTGGACTGTGGACCCCAAGTGTGCCCTGTAGTCCTGGTGTACCTGGGTAGTGGCAGCGTTGAAGGCGATGCCAAGCAGGGCACAGAGCCCGAGGCCCGAGGCCACTGCCAGGGCTACCAGCAGCACCCCTGCAAGGCCTACAGCACCCTGGGACTGGGCACAGTCCCAGCGCAGCATCGTCACACAGGCATAGGCTAGCTGTGGGGAAGGAGGGCACAGTCTTGGAAAGCAGCTTCCTGGCTGAGCACCGGGCAGAGGGTGGGGTAAGGTGCCGGGAGCAGGACCCACCATGAGCAGATAGCCTCCCACTACACGGGCAGCACTGACTTCAGAGAAAGCGTGCAGGATGTCATCCAGGGTGGTGGAGGAGAAGGCATGGATCTGCTGGGATGAATTCTGAGGCAGGGCCTCCTGGGCCAGCTGGAGAGACAGGGTGGATCTGAGGGGCAGGAGGAGGGAGTGGCCTCAGGGCGCCGCCCTTGCCCTTCTGCACACTGACCTGCACAAAGCGCCGCTGCCAGGCCCGCAGCACTGTGCCAGCCTGCTCCTCGCTCCAGCCGATGTCGTGTGTCTGGTAGTCGCCTCGGAAGTGCTCATACAGCTGGCGGGGACTCATCAGCAAGAAGGTGCTCTGCAGGGCTTCTGCCCTGGTGAGGGGTAGAGGAGAGTTGGGGGGCAGAGCTGGCCTGAACGCCCAGCAGGACCTGTACAGGGGGGTTTTGCCAGAGCCACCTAGAATCAGAGTGTGGATTCCCATGCCTGGGGCCCCCTTACCAGGCCCCATGAAGGCCCTACCTTAGCAGCTGTCCTTGGGCGTCTCTGGCCATGCCCCCCAGCAGCAGTTCCTCCTGCCAGTGCATGAACTTGTGGGAGAAGCCATGGCAGCCACCGTTCAACTCCTGAGCCACATTGGGAGCCTAGAGGGGGACAGGAGGGGGGTTTATTATTCAAGGCTCTGGCTCTGGGTAACTCGGGGTCCCTGGGCTGGAACCATGCCTGCCATGGGGTTCCATAGCCTGAAGTGTAGATAAGTATTCTCCTGAGTTTCTTGCCTACTCTGAGTCTCTTGCCTAATAGTGAACAGCTATTATCCTGCAGAGAGGAGGCCACAAGAGGGAGAAGAAGCCTGGAAATAGGCTTCTGGGAAGTACTAGAGTAACTTTGGTGGGTTTTGGAAAAAGGTTCACATTCACAGGGCCACAGAGACACTCAGGAAACTAGGTATGATACTTGTGCTTAGCTAATTGGTCCTCAGTTTCTCTGTACAAATCTATTTTGATGAAGTCCAGGTTTTCTGGGCTTAGAAAAGGACCAAGGGATTCATATACCACTTGCAGGTCCCTTAGGAGAACCGAATGGAAAGGTTATTCAGGTATCTAGTACAGTGAGGGCAAGGTAACGATGTCCAGAAAATGGGAGACAGAGCACAATCTGCTCTCTCAGAACATATGAGGAGGGAAAAGGGAAGAAAAATAGCCTTTCCCTGGCAAACCCGGCTGGAACCCACCTGCTTGCTGTGATGGTTAGGGGCAGTAGGTGGGCAGTGGAGGTCATCAGGGTGCAGACAGGGCCGCCCCACATAGGCCTGGCCCACCTGTGCCTTGTCTAACAGCTCCCGGAAGCCCTCAAGGGAGGCAAAAGGGCCCAACTCCTTGAGCAGCTGCTCTGGATCCAGGTTGGTCCACTGGATGTCAGGACGACCACTGAGGGGAGAGCCCATGGTTGGTGAGGATAAAGGATCAATTCCCTCCCTCCAAAATGCTGCTAGGGGACCCCTGCTGTACCCTACCCTCCTCCTAGCTGTTCATTTGTCCCTCCATATGAAGGGTGTGCAATGTTGAGCCTCCCAGAGCTCCCAGGCTACACCAGCTTACCAGGTTGCTGTAGTGAGATGGAGGACAGATAGTACTTAATACATGGACAAGGCCAAGAAAAAGCCCCACTGAGTCCCTTCCCAAGCACCTATCTTTGGTTCTAATACATAACCATATGGGCACCTGCCTGTAACAGGTTTTCTTTTTAGTCTGGCAACAGCTTAGCTGATACCTAGTTAACTCTCCCGTGCAAAGTCTCTTTCTGGGGATCTTTTTTTCTCTTTCATTCAGATCTTTGTTCTGTTTTGTCTAAATAAGGCCAGTTTGCCTTTCCTTCAGAGGAAAGGAGAAGGGGGATGTGGAGAGAGCCCTGGGGCAGTCTGGCCCTGGCCTGACAGGTAGTTTAGGCCCTTAGTAAGGTTTTGATCATCATCTTTACTCCCACCCTCTCTTCTGCTGGGAAAGTCCCGGCCTAGGAAGCAGGGCCTGGGAGCAGCTGTGGTGGCACTCACGGCAAGTAGGCAGAGCCCCCTTGGAGTTTGGCTCCCTCCCAGAAGCAGTCGAGGGGGGTGAGGATCACGCACGGAAACAGCTTCTCAATCATCTGCCAGGGACATCCCAGGCCACATCAGTCCTGTCCCTGGGCTCCTTTCTCCACAATCTCTGTAGAATGCCCTCTGCAACCCCCTCCCCTCCCCTCCTGACTTTTAGCCTCCCCATCTCCGAGAACCTTCCCCTGCTGCAGAAAAGGTTCCACCTTGACCCCATCTCAAAGAACAGCTCAGGGTACTCACCCGCTCAATCATTCCATTTTCAATTAGGGGAATTCCTGACTTGTAGCAGATTTTATTCAAATCCCAGGACCTGGAATAGCCAGGGCACAAGAGATCAGCAGAAGAGGCAGATTCCCATGCCAGCTCTGCCACAGCGTGCCTCACTCCCAGCTGCTCAGGGACTCAGCCAGACTCACTTTCCATAGAGTGATACTTGCACTTTACTGGCTGCAAGGGCTGCCTGGAGGTGGAGGCCCAGTGCCTCAGGCGTGAGGATGTTCTCCCCCTCCTGGTGTGGGGTCTGTATCAACATCTGGGAGGTGTACGCAGCCTCCTCCCCCAGCTTCTCCTTGGTGTAATGCAACTCCTGGCTCACCCGGCTGCCCACTGCCAGAGACAGAGAGAAAGCTGGGGAAAAGAGCTTTAGTGGATTGGAGCTCTGGGGAATGTGGGACCCTAGCCTGCTGAGGCTTCCCAGGAAAAGTGGGAGAAGTGCTCTGAAAGGAGCCCCTACTTTTCCCCTGATGGCCATTCTGACTCCACAGGCTCCTGGCCCTCTGGCTGGAATCTGGAGCTTTGCAGGGAAGTGAGAGACCTCAGTTGTATGGCTCTATAGAATTCTTGTGTTGTCTAAGATTTAAGCATGAATCAGGTTGGCTAGGTTTGGAGCAAATAACTTCAAAATGACAGGTCAGTATGAGTTGGGTTGGGGCTGCGGTTTTGGAGGTATCCTGGTAAAGAAGCCCTCACTCAGTCCCTCTCTGCTCTGGTAAGGAAGACAAGGAGGGACAAAAGGGACCAATAGAGAGGTTGCCATTGGCAGGGTCTTCTAAAAGAACAGATCTAGTGCTAGGACTGGTTCTTAGTTCAGGTTGTCCCAGGCAATGCTTTATAGCCATACATCTTTTTGCAAATTGTTCTGCCAAGAGGGTGGGGATGGAAGTGCCTGGTAATAATGGGCCCTGTGGTGGCACAGGTGAGAGGGAGGATCAGATAGTCTTTCAGTGTGACGCTGTCAACATACTGTTTCCACTCATGCAAGAAGTACCTGGAATCAGCTCACGTACCCTGGCAGAGGTGACAGCAACATGGACCAAGGGGAAGAAAACGTTCCCAGATCCCTTTCACCAGTCTCACTGTCCAGGCAACAGGGAGACCCAGCGCCAGGCCTGCCTTAGTCTCCTTGATCTTGGCAACCCTCAAGTCCAGCATTGTACTGGCCACAGAGTCATGGTCTCTAACTGGGGCCTAGCAGGGGAGGGGTGCTGTGAGGGGATATGGCCTGCCTGTGGTTTGGAGGAGGGCAAGGGCAAGTGCCAAATCACTCCTGAGGCTTTATGGACTTGGTCTGGGCTTAGGTCCAGTTCTGCTTCCACCTGTCCAGGACCTCTGCCTGTTGGTCACTGCCATTCCTGGGGCCCACATGTATATCTTCTCTGAGGCTCCAGCCCCATCGGTGATCATCGTGGTCCCCCATCTCTTTTTCTTTTTTTGCTTTATTTTAGACAGAGAGAGTGTGTGAGAGTGCCTATGTGCTCACACTGGGGCAGGGTGGGGGCATGCAGAGGGAGAGAAAGAATCCCAAGCAGGCTTCGCCCTGTCAGCACAGATCCCACCACCCTGGGATCATGACCTGAGCTGAATTTGAGTTGGATGCTTAACCCGCTGAGCCACGCAGGTGCCCCTCCCAATCTCTTTTTCAAGCCCATATAATCTCCTTACTCATGAGAGTCCCAAACCCTTAGTAGCAACCCCCCAACACAGATTTGCCCATCTGCTCACATTTTCCCACTCAAATCACACTCCTGGCCCTCTCTCACGAATGTAGCCTCCCATAGCCATGCTGCCTGCTTCCATATATTTTTCTTCCTTTTCTGACTCTCCTTCCTCCCCAGGCCTGTACTGTACTACAGTGTTTATTTCACCAGGCTTAGGTCAAACCTGCTACAAGGAGGGACAGGAGGAGACAAAAATAAGCTCTTCATTGTAAGTGAGTTTGCTGAGGGGAGGGAGGCACAGGAGAAGGAAGGAACCCAGAGAGGGCTATCAAGAAAGCAAGAGAGGGGTGCCTGGGTGGCTCAGTCCATCCAACTTTTGGTTTCGGCTCCAGGTCATGATCTCACAGTTTGTGAGTTCTAGCCCTGTATCGGACTCTGTGCTGACAGCGTGGAGCCTGCTTGGGATTCTCTCTCTCTCCCTCTCTCTCTGCCCCTACCCTGCTCACTTACTCTCTCTCAAAATAAATAAACTTAAAAAAAAAAAAAAAAAGCAAGAGAAATACTGGCAATGTAAAGCATAACATCAAAGAAAATAAGGAATCCTAAGAAAAAATGAGGAAAAGCAAAAGGTAAACTTCTGCTGACAACAATGATGATGATAGACATGAGGACAGATGAACTGGGATGTATTGTGCGGGCAAGAAGAGACAGCAGGTGGAAGGGAGAGCCTGGAAACTCTGTACAGACCTGGGTTTGAGCCTTGGCTCTGACACTTAGTCTGTGCTTTGGGAAAATTACTTAGTCTCTCTGACCCTCCGTTTCCTCACCTGTCAAGTGGGGACAATACCTACCTTGGTAGAATTAGCATCAATGCAGGCAAAGCACTAACTGCCCAACACATAGTAGGTACAGACAAGAATTGTTATTTAATAGCTGCTGGGAGAGAGACTGTGGGACAGAAAAACGAGAAAGAACTTGGAGTAACAAAGATTGAATGGGGAGGAAGTAGGAGAAAAGGAGAAGGAGATGTTAAAATCAAATCTGTTGAATGCTTTTGTGCCTTTACAAAAGAGAGAATATAACTGGTTAGCCAGCATGGAAAAAGAACCCACCTTATATGTAATCCTGTAAGTGTGAATTAAAACAGCAGTAACTTACTGTCTATCAAACTAGCAAAAATAAAAAAAAAAATTGATACCACTCATTGCTGGCTTACAGGAGTGGACTCTTCCTACCACCAAAGTGTAATTTGGTATGATATTTGGGGGAAAGCAATATTGTAATATGTATCAGACCTTGAGAAATGTTCATAATCCTTGGTCCAGAAATTCTCCATGCAAGGGCCTATAAGCAAAGACATAGGCTTTCTTGGAGTGAACTGGGAGCCATGGTAGCTTTTGAGCAGAGAAGTGAGATGACCTTTTTCATCACTGAACAATACATTCTGGGGCTGAACTGTGAATGAATAGGAATTGGCCAGGGAAGGTCAGGAAAGGGCATTCTGGGCCAAGTTATGTGTAGGGAACTGTCAAAGACTCAGCATTGCTGAGTGGAAGAGAGACAATGCTAGAGAAGAAATCAAGTTAGGTTGCGAGGGCCTAGAATGTATGCTAAGGAACTGGATTCTGGAGTCTCCCCAGACCCTAATAGAAAGTGGTAGAAGGGGGCGCCTGGGTGGCGCAGTCGGTTAAGCGTCCGACTTCAGCCAGGTCATGATCTTGCAGTCCCTGAGTTCGAGCCCCGCGTCAGGCTCTGGGCTGATGGCTCAGAGCCTGGAGCCTGTTTCCGATTTTGTGTCTCCCTCTCTCTCTGCCCCTCCCCCGTTCATGCTCTGTCTCTCTCTGTCCCAAAAATAAATAAACGTTGAAAGTGGTAGAAGGACTCTAAGCAGGGGATGGACTTGGCCAGATTTATATACACCACAGGAGGGCAGTGTAGAGGCAGAGTTGAAGGTGAGGCTTGCAGAAGATTGGTCACTTCTCTAACAGACTTTGATTTTGTTGGCCATTCTCTGAAAGGCCCAGTGATTCAGGGCAGCTGGATCCCTCCCCAGCCTCAGGGGGGTGGAATTTGATTAGTTAATCACAGTAATTCCATTGCCTTTGCCAAGTGAAGGGTTTAGGCATATGAAGCTACACAGTTCTTGCCAAAGTGACCAAATGGGAAGTCGGCTGGGGGGCTTCTGGTAAAATTTCCCTCACTTCCAAAATTTCCCCCAGACAGGACGGGATGACGTCCCTTTTCTGACACTGCAATAGCCACTTGGGACAAGGAGGTGGTAAGCCTGAGGACAAAAGGCCAACATGCTGAACAAGGCAGAGGAGAAGACAGGAAGAACCTGTGTCCTTACTGATGTCCTTAGGTTTTGAATTAACCATCCTGGAACTTCTCTACTGTGTACTACCAGATTTCTTGTTACAGGGATAATAAATCAATCTTCTTCCTTCCTTCCTCCACCCTCCTTTCCTTTTTTTCTTCTTTCACGTGGCTAAAAGCATATCAAATGATACAATCAGGAATGTACTACCAGAGACTGAGAAAGGCCTCATCTAGAGCAATGGCCACATGGGTGGAAAGGAGGAGTCTGTTATGAGAAAGGTTAACAAAGAAGAATTTGCTGGCTTAGTAACCAGTTAGGTAAGCAAGAAGAACTGAGGCTGACTCCCAAGGTTTCAGCCTTGTGTCTTTGAGTGGATAGTCGTTCCACCAATTGATATGTTGCATGCTGCCTTCTAGATAGAATGGCTACATGTTCCTTCTTTTCAGGGATAGCTCCAATTTCAAACCATCTCTCTCACTGTTCCTGTAAGTATTGGTTGGGCTATGTGTTGTGTTTTTTTATTTTAGAGGTCAATCTATCTCTGGGCCTTTTAGCTTTAAAGTTGATCAGGAAGGACAAGTTACTTTCCAAGTCTCTCACCATGGCAAAGTTGTAAGGGACCCTGAACTCTGGTCCAGAACTCTGATAGCCAGTGAGTGTCCTGCTTCTTTCTTTGCTTCCTGTATTAGCAAAACAGGAAAGGAATAGAGAAATACTCTTCAGTCCTCACCTTGATCAGCTCCTCATTGCCTAGGGCATTGCTGGGAGAAGCCTCAACTATAGATGTACAGAGACAAGATCAGGTCAGGATCATTGCTTTGACCTCACCCCCAGCTCTAGCTGATATAGGACACAGCAGGATTCTGAAATAAAGGAAAAAGCCCTAGGAATTGGATACCACCCTCTAATATCACCCTTCCACAAACAGCAGAAAAAATCTGGTGGGATCTAGCTTGTCCTGTGCTGGAGTAATAGGAGAGAAGATAAGGAACAGGAACATGGAGGTTCAAGCAGTGTTTAGATGGGAAAGCTCTGGGAAATGGAGAAAGAGGAAGAGGGGAGAGACAGCTTCTATTGTAGCAGGAAATCCAACAGTCATTTGGGACCACCCAGGCAGCAGTGGTGTGTGGGTGGGGGTATGTGTATGTGCGTGTATGCACATGTGTGTCCTGGGGCTGGGGGCAGGCAGGCAGGCACAGAGAAACATCTGCTCTGGACCCCAGGGCTGGCCTAGAGTGGATATGTATGTGTGAGCCTGCAGAGGGCTGTGGCAGGGTGGGGATGGGGTGTGGGAGCCCAACAGGCAGGCGGGCAGGCTCCAAGAAACATCTGCTGTGCATCCTAGGGCTTGCCAGTGTTTGAAATAACTCAAGGGTGTGAGACTCTAACCTGGCCCTGCCTTTGGGTGTGGGCCAGGGCTAGGGGAGGTTTGGGGGAGGCCACAAATGCAAATTTCCCAGGAAAGACCAGGTAAGAGTTTGACTCTATTGAAGGGCTAACATATGAAACCAGGCCTCAGGAAAGAAGAGTTATGCCAAAATTATTAATAAGAAACCATCTTTAACGCTTCCATTAGGAAGTGAGGATTTGGTTGCATCTGACTCCACTGTTGCCTCAAAGTGCAGACCCTGTGCTGCTTTTTCCCACTAATTGCAGGGGGCCTAGGTGCATGGGACCTCTCCATGGAGGCTTGCCAGATGATTTACTCAGTTTCCCCAGCCCAGTTCTAATTTTCCAGATTCTCCTGGTTAGGTGTGATCTCTCCTTGCCTTCTCTTATTCAATGTAATCACATTCTGCTCTACATTATATTGCATCCTAACACATATTTTACTTTCCTTGCTACTGAAAGATGGGTCTTAGTTTGGTTGCCTTTACAAACCCTGCCATGCCATAAAAATACACATAAAAAGTTGGCAATAATTGCTAAATAAACACACACATGCTCACAGATAACTATTCTATATACCTATCCACAGGACTCCATCATCTGCAGATGTCCATTTACAGGTGTGGGAGGGAGCACTGCTCCCAGACGCCCAGGCTTTGGCAGACAGGTACCCCTTCCAGACCCAGAGCCAAGCCCACTAGAACTCAGTAGTCAGCTCCTCACGCTGTTCTTGTCTTAGGCTCACCATATCCAAGCAGCTATGACTAGTGTCCACAACTCACCTTCCACCCAGAGCTGTTCTAGGTCTGTCTCAATGATGGCCACACGGAGACCCAGTGCCAGGGCTCCAAAGGCCAACAGGCCCAGGAAGAGCACTTTGCCACAGTGTCTCTGGATCCCGCAGCCCAGAGAGAAGAGCAGGCCCTGGAAGTAAGCACGAAGCCAGAGTGGAGCCTTTAGGCTCCCAGCTAGGATCTGGGATGGAAAGAGAAGGGTCAGCCAGGCATTACTGCAACAATGCATGAAATCCTTCCTTTTTCTCCTTATGTACACCCTCTGCCCAAGCCCTAGCTTCTTGCTTTCTGGATGCAGGACAGGTAGGACCTACAGAGACACAGGCCCAAACTTGGAAAAGATTTAACTCTATTCCCTGCCACCCACCCGATACACACCCAAGGAAGGCACAGACCCCTTTTCTGAGAGTAGAATACATATACATACATCTGTTTTCAGGTGGACAGAGGTGAAACCCAGACACACTCTCACCGGCCAGATGTTGAGGAGACACAGAAAGGCACACACACCCTTAAGGGGTGGGCAATAACACCCTGCACTTTAGAGACATCACACCTTGCTGAGTGACAGACCTGGGGTCTCTAGACCTGGTCCCAATCTTTCTAACCCGTTTCCACTCCACTCACCTGGGGTGATGCGGGTCGAGCTGGGGGTGTATAGACAGGGGGCAGCTCCTGGAGTGGCGGCGGCCGAGCCATGCTGGCGGGGATGGGGGGCGTGGGCGCCCCCAACTCGCGTTATCTGGGATTCTCCATAGGCTGGCCTGGTACCCCTGTACTGCGGGGCCCGGCGTCGGGACTCAGTGGGGCCGCTTAGACGCGGCGTGGGTGAGGGGTGGGATGCTGGTGAGCAGCGGCGGCTGTGAGGGGGAAGAGCGCAAGGAGATGCGGGTGCCGGAGTCAGTCCCGCGTTCAGGCAGAGCTACCGGCCAGCGACAAGCCGCGCGGCAAGCGGTGGAGAACGCAGTGAGGAGGAGGTGTCCTTAGCCCCAGAAAAAGGGAGAGGGCCGGGACGACGCCCTCCCATTGGCTGAGGGATCCGTAAATTACTCGGAGCCGCGCGGCCGGATCTGCTGCTAGGCAACAGCGCCGCGGGTGGGGGCGGGGCAGGAGACCACCCAGGCAGGGCCACCCCACGCCTTGCTTCCCCAGCTGCCTGCGGGGCCCTGGGGGAGAAGCAGGGAGGGAGATCCCGAGGACGCACGGCGCTGGCCAAGTATGAGCTAGGAGACGCCAGTGCTGAGAAAGGGTATCTGCTGCCTGACCCGCCAAGACCCAAAGACTCCTTTTCGCTCTTTTCTGCCTCCACACTTGCCCCTTTCAGTCCACTCTCCACTGAAGCCAGAGTTATCTCTCTAAAATGCAAATTTGATGATTGCTCTAGAACACAAAGCCCTTTTGGAGCGCGGAGCCCTGCATGATCTAACTAAAGCCTCTCTCATAGTTCCTTCACACCCACCCGATGTTCTTTCCAGCCCTACAGAGTTACATGTAATTTCCTAAAGGCACCATGCTATTCCAGGCGTTTCTGCCTTTGTACGTGTTGTGGCCCTGTTGTCTTGGCAGACAACCTTCAAAACAACATGAATCTGTCATCTCTCTTTGAAGCCTTCCTTGATTCGCACTTCCGCCTGATGTAGTTGCTTCTTTCATTGTGCTCCTTATAACTAGACAATAAATAGGTGCTCAATTGTTGAGTAAATCACTGCGAGTTGGAGAAACCAGGGTGGAAAGGACTGGAAACGGAATAGTTCCTTTATTAAGCTTTCATCAACTATCCTGAGTACCGTTTCTGCCAGGTTTCTGAATGATTAACCCTGAGTGGCAGAGGAGGGTAAAATCGATATTCTAACATGTAAGGTTTGGAAAAGAGAAAAATAATCTACAATAAACTCATTACTCTAACACAACCACTACTCTCTCCGGCCAATTTCCTGGTCAGTTCTTCCAGACTTGTTTACCATTACATCATTAACATTACATTGTTACTACATAGTCTTTGTATCAGTTATTTGGAGAATGTCCTTAGGACAGATTCCCAGAAGTGAGGGTGTTGGGTCAAAAAGCATGAACATTTTTATGGCTCTTGCTACACATTGCCAAACTGCTTTTTGAAAACGTGTCAATTAACATTATTTCCAGAGCCTCAGTCCTGGGGAAAGGGAAATTTCAGACTGAGGGGATGAACCACCTAACTGGTTTGCCACATCTGTTGGTCCATTCTTCCAGCAAAATGCCAGTGGAGGAATCAATACATGTATGATGCTGTTGGCCAAGTAGTAACTACGCATTAAAAAGCAGCATATGTGCATAGCACTTTCTTCTTCCCTGTTATCCTCTTGTGGATAAAGAAAGTGTATGGAAGATGGTGGAATAGGAGGATCCAAGAAAATGTATCCTCAGGAATTCTCTGGATATACAAATAGTCTCTAAACTAGCTGTATGGGCCCCTGGATTGCTCTTGGGGCAACAGCTGAGTATGGCTGGGTACTCAAGCAGAAAGGCTCTGTTGTAAGTAGCTCTTGAGACTTCCTTCCTTCTTACCAGACTCCGCAAGACATAAAGTCCATAGAGAAAGATTTGTAATTGCCTGGGCCTTGGGACTCTGCTTCTACCGCAGGCCCACCATTGCTAACAACTGTGGTGAAGTCCAGCATTTCTGTGGATGCTTCCAGGGTAGGGCTTGCCTGCTGGGAAAATTTCTTGCCAAACTCCAAAGACCAATGTGGGAGAAACTGGTCTGCAGTTCTAACCATTCCAACTCAGGGCCTAGTGCCCTCTGGCTGCTCCAAGCTCCAAGATGACCTTTCTTTTCCCCAACAAAGTGATTTCCTGAGTGCAGCTGAGCTCAATCAGAGCAACCTAAAGCCATAGACCCCAGGGAACAGGAAGGGAAGTAGAAACTCGTCTTTTTTACGCTACAAGCAGCCTGCTTCACTGTGGAACAGCCTGGTTCAGTGTCACTTCCAGTGGGCCTGGAAATGTGTTTTGGATTAAAACCAGAGAAATTCCCCAAAGAATAACAAAAGAGAAAAGCCATTTAATTAAATTCATTATCACCAAGGAGTAAATCTAATTACTGACTGAGACAACATCCTTTAAGGTCTGTTATGTGTCCACCCCTTTGCTAAGTTCTAGGGTTGCAGGGTACCTGCTTTTTAGAAGTTCATACTCTAAGAGGGAGCACAGAGACCACAGGGGAAAACACTGTGAGCTGGAATACTCAGGGAGGTTTAACTTGGACTGGATGGGAGAGGTGGGAAGATGACCAAATTGAAAAGGAGAAGACATGGTTCAAGGTCTGGGTCTATCATTTACTGCTTATGAGATCTTGGGCAAGTCACATAATCTCTGACATTGACATAAGAATTAAATAATATATGTGGCTGATGAGCAGTGTAGGTAGGGTCCATGTAGGAGGAACTAGGTTAGACCTTCTTTCCTTGGCATTCTCCCAGGCTTCTCACTCATGCTTTGGGCTGGGCAGGGTCAGTGACCCTGAGATGTAGAGGAGGGAGGCAGGGATCCCTGGTGGGGGGGCCCCCCCCCCCCCACCATCCATTATGTTTAGTGGCCAAATTGGGAATGCATACCCCTTCCCTGTAGGCAGCTTTAGGCCAATAGCACCTGTCAAGTCTCTAGTGTCAGAGGCTGCAACCTGAGATCAGAGAATGGCCTTTTACCTGGAAGGTGGAGTAAGAAGAGAGGCTGAAAATCAAAGCAGAATCTCCCCATTTACCCATGGCAGAAAAGCCTGATACAATCCTTCTGGGTGGTGGCAGATGGCTCAGGTTGAGGATGTCACCCTGGCTTCAAGTAGAAGGTGTTCTCTTGCTCAGCCTCTTTCCTTCCCTGTGAGCTCCATCAGAACTAAGCTTTCTAGCCCTTGTGTCTGGGTGGTCCTTCCCATACCCACTCCCCCTTCCTCAGACACATTTAACTATTTAGAAAGCAGTATACAAAGGCCTGGCTTACTACCCCTTTAGGGGTAGGGACAGCTGTGGATAAAGAAAGTATGTTCTCTGCAATTCTCTGGAAATAGAAACAGCTTATAAACTGGCCTGTGTGGGCCCCCAGATTGTTGTTGGGGCTCCGGCTAAAGATATCCTCCCCACCCCCCCGACCCCCCCAACTCCCACCTCCATAAATGGGAGTGGGATACGAAGACTAATGTGATGAAGGACTGGGAAGAAGTTCAGCCTCTGGCCTTGGGAACAAGTTTGGAGGGCAGTCCTGACAGTCCGTCCCCTTACAGGCTCAGGAACTCTTGCCAGCAGGTGGGGGTGAGGTGTTACTGGGGGAGGGGTTCCTGGAGTAGTAGACATTAGATTTTGTCTGACCTGGCAAGCTCCCAGAACCCTTGTTGCTCAACACTTCCCCAGAGTCCTCCTTGATTGGCACTGAAAGCCTCCTTCCTTCTCTCTTCCACTTCCCTCCTGGAGCATCACTGGGAGAGGCAGAACAGGTAACTCTCTTACCTGCCTGCCTCTTCTGGCTTCTGTCTCATAGAGAGGTGGCTGGCAGTGGAAATTCAGTTGCTCACTATATTTTAGATATATACAAACTCTCTGTAAGCTGCTGCCAAAAGGAAACAAAAATGGTCCCAGCCTTCTGGCAGACAAACAGAGCAAAGGGAAGAGAAATCAAAGCATCTTGGGCATTCAGCCAATCCTGGAGTTGTTGGAGACAATAGCAGCACTGTCCTGGGCTGGGGGCTGTTCCCAGCTGGGACTTAAAGTTAGCAAGGCCTTCCCCTGGGAAATCTTACCTTGTCCTGTTTTCTCCAGCTCCCCTTTCCAAGTCCTGCTCATGGGTTTGTGCAAGGGAAAGCAGAGAAGTCTTTCCTCTACCTTACTGTCAGGGATTCCAAGGGCTCAGTGGGGGAAGATGAGGAAGGGGTTTGGGAAGGCTCTAGGACAGTTTAATCAATCCCTTCTCTTCCCTTCCTTCCAAACCTATCTAGTTTCACCCCCTTGCTGTTCAGAAGCAGTTTTCTGGCCTCTTGGGCCACCCAGATCCCAAGGGTCAGAAAAGCTCAGAGAGGGGACAGAACCTGAGAATGGAAAGATCCTTTAAAAGTTATCCAGTCACTTTCCCATTTTGCAGATGTGGAAACACAGGGACAGAGGAGAGGCAAGATTTGGCCGAAGCCAAACAGCATTTCAGGGGGCAGGTCTTCTTCCATCCAGCATCATCTGAACTCTACAGATTTCGTTTCCAAAGGGGACCACCCTGGGCACTGCCACAGCTCTTTACCCCACCTCTCCCCACAGTCCTATCCATCTCAACCACTTCTACTGGGCCATTTCAGCTCCTGTCTGATTAGGGCAAATTTTCAGGAACCTTGTTTTGGCCAGTGGTAGGAATGTGGAGCTCTAGAGCTCCCAAGAAGGCTGGTGGAGGTGGAGATCCTTTAGGGTAGAAATGCTCATCTAGTCTCTCACAAGTTCAATGAGAACAGCACTAAGATTCAGGCAAGATTACTCAAATGAACTTTAGAGACTTCAGATTTTTGAAGTGATGTAGAAACCAGTATTTCAAATCATTCTTTATAATTACTGCCACCCACAGTGAGCACATCAAGGGAAACCTTTACTTTGATAATTCTAGGAGGTGAAATCCACCCCAGGAACCACTTTTATCTTCCACCAAACACCTGCAGGTTGTAAAAGTAGTGCAGGGAGAGGCAAGAGCAGAGTGTATGTGTGTTTGGGAGTGGGGGTGGTGAAGGGAAGGTGGATAGAATTCCAGAAGGGCTGTGAGTATGGAAATCTCACTTCTTAATTATCTGAAGCAGGAGAGTCAGTATAATTAGGATATAAAGGAGCGTAGCTGGAGAAGAATTAGGAAGAATTTCAACCATGATATAGGTTCCTGGCGCTTATTTTCCAGGTTGGACAGACTTTAGTCTTCTCCTCACTGAGGGAAGGTGAGAAGGAGTCTGTCTGGCTTCACAGATCATGGCTTTCTCTTACTGCTCTTGCATCCACTAAACCAGGGGAGTTAGGCTTGTCGGCTAGGCCAGGGC